TTGGTATTCCAAGAGGATACTTGAAAGGTTGGCGCAATAATGACCATGGGTAACGATTGCCCGATATCGTAATTGAAGACCCGTGGCGGGCGCGCCGATCTTAAGCTTAGAGTGAGTCGAAAGCCCGATTTGGAGTAACGGGAAGACGAAGGGGTGAAAGTCGGTTGAGAACTGCTGCAAGCGAAATGCGTGTGAACTGAGAGCAATGTTGAGCTAAGTAAAATAGCCAACCAGATTCACCTCCAGACATTTAGGGTCTGCGGCACCACGCACCGTGAAAACAGTCCTCACTGATTTCCACAAACACAAAAAATACCTTCCTGAGTGGTCATACGCATCATTCGCAGATACTAAGACGACGAATTTCGGTGTACGCCGAAAAAGGTTGAAAGCATTTGGTGCTTTGCATTGGTTTATGAGATGCGTTGAGAAGTTAATCTGTCAACACATGATTTCCGCACATGCGGGTTCAAACTGCCAAACGTTCCACTGATTCAGGAAGTTCGCGAAATGAGTAATCGGGGCAACGTGGAGAGTTGGCAAGAAGAGTTGGCGTGCGGGCGACTGTGATTTGGCGACTGTGCATGGGTTAATTGTGCTTGCCTGTGTGTCATTTGGTGTTGAAAATCCCATGATAAACTGAGATCATTATAGAGCACACACTCAGTACCAGCAACTCAACGGTACACTGAGCAAAATCTACCCCTCCTTCATTGTCTTGAGAAAAGCACACCAGCTGATTTCACTACCCATGTGTCCACTTAAACACCACGAGCGTGACTAACTTTGCAGAAACTGGGATTTAAGCTATTTTTTAGAACAAGAGTTTGCTATGTGGTTCTTAAGCGATTTGTATAAGCGCTCAGTTTAATAGCGAAGCATCATCCCACAAACGATCGGATCTGGTGATTACTACAAAGAAAACCAACCTGTGTGCATCCACCATGTGTGCGGTAGCGGTACAGCGGTCACATTCACTGTCCCCTTCATGCACTTTGATTGCGGGTCACTAATTGTGGTTCTTGTGGTTACGCATTAAAAAGAAACATAAGGTTTGTGGCGAGCAGCAAGCAAGCTCAGTTAGCAATCGTGAACAAACGCAGTGGGCAAGCGTGAGTGGAATCGATTCAAACGATTTTCTCGTGAATGCACGTCACACAACCCCGTTCGTTCAGAAATCGAGGATTAGCGAAGCTCTACAAACGCCCTTGTTATCCTGAGCTAACACACACCGCTGTTGTACTAATAAATTAGTTGAGCTGTGCCCTCGGCATTCACGATTTATCTTTCGTTCGCGCGTGGTCAGCGTAAATCGTCGGCCCTGGTGTGGTTCCCAAAACCGCACTGGGGTCCGTTACAGGTTATTACATTAAAGGCAATATTATAGAAATTACACTAGCTAGCGAGTACTGATCAATAAAAGTACACGTATTCAATGCATGATGAAACCACGGTGGGGATCTCGAATCCAAAACTCACCACCTTGTTCATTTAAAATGAATCTTGGTAGACATATCGCCTTCCATGAATGTCAATTGAAGAAATTGTTGATTTGAGAACTACGATATCAATTTTGAAGGTTCGACGTTGAACGAGTCAACACATTAGCGCAAGAATCACAGTCCCCAAATTTCGTGGATAGCACAGAGAGCAGGGCAAGTGATGTGACATTTAAGAAACAAATAATACAGAGGTTGCGCATCCTAAATGGCTAACTGAAGGCTGATGGTTCAGTGGGTAGGCTGTTCTAATTGTTGAGCAATTGAGTCAAGACTGGCATAACGTGGCATGATCGGGCAGGCGAGCATTTTGACTAAATCCTCGAAACCCTTGACCTTGCTGCTTAATATCCATCCATTTCAGTTTCCCGTGACCATCTCCAATAAAATTTTAATTGGTGTTCTGGTCAGTTATCGTGCATGGACAAACCCCCCTATTCATGCGCTGTTGTTGTTTACGCTGACGACCCACAGATTCAAGAAACCTCGGCGTAATTAGAATCAGAGACCCAAAAAACGGTTGAGACTTTAGTGATTATGTTGTGTGGGTGAAGGTCCCGTTTTGGGACCGAACACAAATTTTCTGCGGTACAAATGATCATACAGGAGGTTTATCAAGCGGAATGACTAAGGAGTTGTGCCGAGAAAGTGCACACTAGAGGAGATTCAACTCAATTCTTCTCGGTAATTATCAATTCATTAAACTCATTATGTGTGTGTGCTTGAATGGTCTGCGGAAAAAGCTCATTAGCAAACCGGAGACTGGAATAGGCACAGAGCACTGTTTGGTAGAAAGCGCAGGTGGTTTAGTGGTACCGGAAGGATTGTGCACAGTGGAGTGTCCTGGCTTGGGGTTACTTAAAAAAATGTGTTCGTTGTAGCTGTCGTTTCCATTCTGGGGAAGGGGTACTCTGAGTTATCATAAAGCTAGGTGACATTTATTGACGAAGGTTGGAGGTATACAGCAAGGCTGTCGAGTTGTAAAGGCTGATTATGCTATAGAGATATTTGCGAAGACTAAAAAGGTTGGGGATGGCCAAATCCTGCTTTGTACTTGTGTACGTGATTGTATCCAAAGTCTTGCATGGCTCATGACCAATTGAGTTTGGCTGAAATTTCCACAGTACAAATCGCTGACTGGTGAGATAGATGCATTGTGAATCGCGTTTACTTGCATTGCTTAATCCGGTCACTACAGCCTCCGACTTAATAACCTCGTTGTCACAGCAAGTCATTTGACACGCGGATCCTCAACTGCTCGTTAAAATCGCCAGCGATTATCACAACACCTAGGTCTCGATGTTAGCACATTTATGGCTCACACACCACAGACACAAAGGCACCAACATGGTGGAGATTTAAAGTGGACGGTTGTGTCTAGGTCCTTTCTGGTTTTCTTATTCATCGCGGGTAGCAGGGGAGCGCAACCGAGCACAAAGAAGATAAAACGGGTGGTGGGGTAAAATATTTACGGTGATTAAAAGAACACGAATAACCAATGTGACGAAGTATGTGGAAAAAGGGTTGCAGGACTTGAATCAGCAAAAGTTGTTTCTTGCAAGCACTAAATCTCAACTCTGCTAGTTAGCAACCAGTTACAATATGAAAGTTAGAATTAAACATGTAACAGTGGACAAGACTGTTTATTACAATCACGCAGGCGCACTATTTTTTTTCCAGTATGAGTAAACGTGACAATAGGTGTGTGATAAGAGAAGTCACTTGAAAGATAGGGATGAAACATCGTCAGCGAAAATCCTGAAAGTAAAATTCCCTATTACACGACCACTGACAACGCCAACAACAGATTCACTATGGGTTTTGATATATTTATTTCTAATGACAATTCTTTTACATTATAAAAGAAATGGGCCTAAATGTCAAATTGTTCCCTAGATGAAACCTTTAGGAATGTATTCATCTCTTGGATTATTACAAATGGTAAAAACAGACAACACCACTTCTGAAATCCAGAATTATTGTTATGATGCCTGTTTGAAGTAAATTTTCTAGTATAAGATGACTTATTTTCATGGAACGAATGTGAATCCTTCATTTTTTCAAGCATTACAATGTAGCAATTTTTGGCATAAACAATGGTCGATTAGCAAACATTAGGTCATCTATTATGAAAAAAAGGTCAATTGCTATTAACGGGATGTATTTAATAAAAATTAAAGGATAATTTACATTGAATAATTTACAATTCCAGGAAGTCTTATATTTCATTATTTGCTATGTACTATCTTGGTGACGAAGTCATGGCTGCCGGAACTTAACATCAATAATTCATAGTAAATTTAAAAAAATTATAACATCATGTAATTTCATCAGTTAGATGCATTGCAACGTTTATTAATAGAAAGTCTTTCGGATTCTTGTTAGTTGGTAATAAAAATCGAGGTCATTTCTTGATAGCGGGCTTTATATAGTGTGGACTCCATTCTTGGTCCTACCAACGGTCTTACAAGGTAGGGTGTGCTGAAAAGTGTTGCGTTATTAAAAGATGCCTAGGCCAGCTGTTTGAATTTATCCACTGGTATTTGCTGTTCAAGAAAAATCTACCTTTTACTAATTTTTGTTTCGTGCTGTGCTTGTCAGTAGGCACCAAGATTGCTGTCGGAGCAAGGTTGTCTAGTTAAGGATTAAATCATTGGCCGCTAGGTCTGCGTACATGAAGCTTTGATCGCGCGTCTTTTTTTAACTCAGCCATTGTAGTTAAAATCCTAGCTCTTCTACCAGACATTATATTGATTAATTTGATGTAAGTATTGTGTACATTTCGGCCGAGCTTTGAAGTAATCTCACTAAAACTTTCCTTAGTGGCGCGTTTTAGTTGGCCAATTCTCAAATCTATTTTTATATCATATGCAAATTCTAAATTTTTCTTTTGAATGGTTACACCACTTGTTTGGTTTTTCACTCCTTATATTTCCATGAGTAAATTCGGACATGCTGCCACGTGTCTTACAATTAATTTGGTCGACTGCGATTTGAATTGTGCACATTGGTTAAGGGCTTCGTAACGTACCATTTCAGATGGAAATGACTGAAATGCATGTTCGACCGGATCTGCCGACGATTAGCTTCGTTGGACTTCCACCTGGAGCTGAACCCGGTTTCAACCAAAATGTCCTATCGCACGGTACATCAGGTGTTCTTGAGGTGTGCAAAATTGAAACAAGATAGTAGAATTTAGGCAGTAACTTGTTATAATGTACTCCTTCTTTTTGTAGGAATATGAAATAGTAACCCCAAGTGGTATTCCTCTCCGTGTCTATCGTCAGCCATCAGACTCAAAGTCTGCTATTTTGACCTACCATGATATCGGCACTAATCGTAAGTTTTTTTGTGAATATCCTGCGATGGGTAATGCTTGACAGGGCTGAGAAATTAGCTCATTCACCATGGTGCCATTATTCGTGTGAAATTCTATACATACTGTTTTCATTTGCCTAATGGCTATTTCGCGTTTCTTCTGCCCAGACACCTCCTTCTTCGGATTCTTCTCCTATCCAGAAATGCGAGTGATTTCTCAGCACTTCACAATCTATCATGTTTGCGCCCCTGGACACCACGAAGGTGAAGAGCCCCTAATTCCAAAGTTAGTGCCTCTACTTACTTGTGTGTAGTTTTTGTGCCACTGTGTGTTGCTTCTGTGCTTTTTTTGTCGCCGTTCATTTTACACTTTCTTATGCGCGAACGTTAATTTGTACGGGTTGTAGCAAATTTTGGCCTTGTGAAATTGTCGTCGTTGAAGGCCGATAATCAAGGTTTTTGAGTTGAGAGGAGACACCAGAGTTCGTTGAGGTAAAGTGCCACCTCAGCGTTCATTCTAGTATTGCTTACGCACAAAAGTTAAGTTTTGCAGAAGTAGTCAATGTCGAGCTGTAACATATTTTGGTCTTGTGAAATCGTCGGCTTTAAAACAGGCTAGTTTTTGAGTTGCGATGACTCTACAGAGCCGTCTAGTCCATAGATGAGATTTTCTCGCTTTTCTCTACACACGGAGGCGCCCAAACATTTCAAACTGATCTTGGCCCACGCATGGTTGTCACATTTCACACCGCCTCTTTGGTCGGTGACAACTGATGCTGATGTTTTCCATTGGTTTAACCGAACTCGATTCGGTGCACAGTTGATAATCCCATTGTAGCCAGATGATACACTTGATTAAGTGCATAATTCTTAGTTAGTTTAACGAATGAAAAACTGGCGAGTGTCTGAATGCACTGCTTTCCAAACTACGCAGTTTCTTGTGTTCTGTTCACGAATTGTGTCTAATTAAAATCAATGTACCAAATGTTGCGCTTTCATAAATATCTTTTATTTGAATTAGTCGTCATTTGTTTCGCACTAAGGCAGTTGGGTTTATTCAGTCTATGCAACCAGATTTATTGTCTAGAATCTCAATTTTGATGGTGTCGTTGGCGGTTACATTGGTTCTAATAGTCACGACTTAATGTCCTGCTTGATGGATGGGGTTCCAGAACTGGATGATTGCCGGACACGATCTTCCAGGTCGACACGCCTCTCCAACTTGTAGCCTGGTTATTTCCTCCTTGTTAATTAGAACACACATCACTTGTATCCTTTTTTTCCCTCTCTGCCGTCGTCGTCGTCTTTAGTCGTACGAATGGCGAGAATCTAGGCTTCCTTAAAAGTGTCTTCAACTGGCACTCAGGGTACGTTTAATGTGGTGCTCTTGTTGTCCCCCGCATCGTCGTTTCGTAGCAACACAAGTGCTAAAACCGCTTGTAGCTGCTCTAGCTCACACCAAGTCTATCCTGTGTTGCCACAGATCTGTTCTTGTTGACATCTTATGAAACTTTTCGTGCTATGCTCCACTTCATGTGCCTAGTTGTTTTAAACTGGTCGTGGATGCTGTCTTACACTAACACACCAGGCTGTACGCCACAATAACTGTTAAAGCGTTGTGGAGCAGTCTGCGGGTTGTCTGTTGCCGTCACCAGCTGCATGTAAAGGACTTTGTGCTACCAGTATTCGTTGTCGTTTTGTGTGTGTGTGTGTGTGTTTGCAAGCTCTAAAATTCAAGAACCGTGAGAAATCTCCCCTTGCTTCATTTTCACGTCCCCCCAAAAAAGTACCTCTCTAGTAGAGTTGTAAAGGCACCTTTTGGCATGATGTCCATGCGCTCTACGACATGCATGCGCTCCGGCTTTTAAAACAATTCCGCTGGAAGAAATTGGCAGCCACAGGCAACGTCACCTGAAGGAGCACAAATGGGTCTGTGTGTGTGAGAAGACGCAATCTGTGTCCACGCATGCTGAGCAATTTGGTGTGGATTCTCTTGTGCCCTTTTCTGCTTGCGTGAACACGCGTACTCAGTTGGGTAAAAGTTCTTCAACCTCTCACCGAAGTGTTTGTAGGTCAGGCAAATGAACTTTTCAATTGGAGCATGCAAAAGCATGACTGTTAATTAATTTTCACAAAACTCCCCGCCTTCGTGTTCTCGCTGTTGCATCGGAATGCAGCCCATGTGACTACCCAGATGCTGCTGTCGCTGTTTGTGGAGCATGCTATGATCTTTGGACAGATGTGGGTCTGGATGGTGGTCAATTTGACTGTTTCTCGGTTTTCCAATTGTCAAAACCCACGCACATTCCATTTTGTTGTCAAGCTTCAGTCATGCTTTCACCTCGGCTTTGAAAACCCAACAGCCGCACGTAACCACACCACGTCGTGATCCTTCGTGTGCGAAGGCTGCAATGGTGTGTGGCGTGGAGATGGCGAATGTCGTGTCATTTATTTACTTTGACACGCCGTTAGGTTATCACGCCTCGTGGAGCAAGCGATTCGCTCGACTATCTGTCTGGCTTCACACCACGTCTCTAAGCTGTCGCAGGGGTAGGCAATATCAAGAATGACTGGCGTCTTTGTGTCCAAACTCCTGTTCGGGATCGGCCGGAGATTCCTCCAGCTGCGTTAGTTTTTGTTGAGGGCCCCGGCATGTTGTCTTGAACCATGCCGGGGCCAATGCGATTATCTAGGCCGAATACGTTACCCTGCGT